CAAGCAACATGAATTCTTTGACAACCTCAATCTTTTCTCCACTTATTGTGATGCTGCTCATTGGTCCAGTTGTGAAGATTATTGTTTTCTTTATATTGAGATGTAATCCATACTGCAGAATGTATTCTTAAACCTTCATCAGTAAGTGCCTCAAGTCATCTTCACTTTCAGCAAGCAAAGTTGCATCATCAGCATATCTCAGGTTGTTAATGTCAATTGAAAATTATCAGTTATATGAATACTTCCAAAACTTCTTGTGGAACCAGTTTAAGAGGATTGCAAAATGAGTATTATCATCCTTGCACAAACATGTTTTATGACATAAAACATTTCTCTGTGCTCCTTTTACCTCTACATTTCTAAGGCTGTAAATGATAGGATTTAACATTGGGGTAATAACTACATTCATCATTGAGATAAGCCTGTCTCTGGCTGGGGAGTTGTGACTGGAGGATGGGCGGACATAGTTAGATAACACTGTGCTGTAGAACAAACAAACCACCAGGAAGTGGGAAGCACATGTGGAGAAGGCTTTGTGCTTCCCTTCCGCTGACCTGATCTTCAGGATGGTGGATATGATGTAGGTATAAGAGATACCAGTGATCAGGAAGGTGCTGACTGCTAAGATACCTCCTACCAGTAAGATAAGCATTTCTGCCATGTATGTGGAAGAGCAGGAGAGGGCCACCACTGGAGGGACATCAGAGTAATACTGGTTGACTCGATTAGACTTACAGAAAGACAGGCGGAATGTGAAAACTGTGTGTACTGCACAGTGGAGAAACCCTGCTGCCCAAGTACTGGTGGTGAGCTGGACACAGAGTCCTTTTGTCATGATGAGGTTGTAATGGAGGGGGAAACATATGGCCACATACCTGTCATAAGACATGACAGCGAGAAGGAAGACTTCAGTCCCTAAGAGGGCCACCAGTAGAAAGAGCTGCAAAGCACATCCAACAAAAGAAATGCTTTGTTCCTTGGTTAAGAGGTTCTTGAGCAACTTGGGAACAGTAGTTGATGGACAGAAAATATCTAAGAGGGCCAAATTTGCCAAAAAATAATACATCGGTGTGTGGAGCTTTTTCTCAGTTCCAATAACAAGGAGAATGGCCCCATTTCCCATCAATGTGACCTGATAGATGACAGCAAAGACCACAAAGAGTGGGTAGCGCACTTCCAGGAGGTCAGAGAACCCTGTGAGGATGAACTTTGAGATGGTGGTTAGGTTGTGGGTGTCCATCTCCTCTCTCCACAGGGCTCTCTCTGGAAGGAATGAAACCAAAACGCACAGGTTAGGCTCAAACCCAAGGAGCCTAGTCATGACAACACTTGAGAAAGAGTAGGTGTGTGGTTGATGATGAGTTATCCCAACCATATTTGAATTCAGATTTCACATATTGCAATCACTGCATGCATGATAATTCTTAGACTATTTATCCTCATATCCTGAACCAGAGCCATTTAAAATTTCACCTTCTAATAACACCATTGTTGAACCTTAAGCA